TTCCTGGGTTCATCTCTTCTTGAAGTGGAAGCGGTAGGTTCTATCATTGCTAACTGAAGTGACTGTATTTTAGCATGAATATCACCTATAAGTGACTTTAATCTTTCCCTTTCAGCATCATCAGTTTGGGATCTTAACTGTTCAGTTAACCTAGTCAATTCTGCCTGAAATGACTCAATTTGCTCACTTGATTCACTATATTGTGATTTTTCTCCATGAACTGACATTGTAAATGTTTTAGCAAAACACTTTAGTGCATGGTTAATTACTACTCTCAGATCAAAACCCTTGTAACTATTCAACACTGTCACTAGTAAGGCATACACAATTAGTCTGTAAAATCAAACAATATATACACGAACACTTTTTCTTCTTCGTTTTTTTTTTTTTTGAAGTCTATAAAGATGTAAAGGTAGCACAGTCTAACCTGCTGTTAATTGCAGAGCAGCACTCTTCTGCTTGAAACAGTGATGGAATAAACAAACACTGTTCTCTGAAGCCTGTAGAAAGGATACTTGCAGAGCAAGAGTCTACGCGGCTAAATGTCGTCCTCTATTGGACGTTTCGTTTCGCGGTACTTCCTTTGCGGTGACAGCTGCATAACGGCAAGCCTCGTCTTTGACGCCTTCTCTCTTCACGCAACAGCCCCGCGATCGTGTATCGTCTTTGTCTTTGTATCCGACGACTCTTCTGTACACGATGCACCCGCGATCTTGTTTCCTCTTCTCATCCGACCGATGCCGTTCCACTCTTTAAACTGGTCGGCTTTGCGGCGTTACGTTTTCACTGTAACCGCACTGGTCTAATGAAATGATAGCCAGGCTTCATACAGATGTCTTTTTGCTGTTTATTGGTCTCTCTGTCTCTTACCATGCAGATAAAGGTACTCTTTTACAGGCTCTGCATACCATTAGCATTTCTCTGCATCCATGTTACTTCAACCCATAATGCAACGGTCCCGCGTTCAACTCAACCTGGTCATGTGACCTGTTGCGCTTTAATAGTAACTCTTCTTAAAGAACCCCTAACTTTAAACATTTTAAGGGAATACATTCTCTACTTATTAACTTGAATATCAGGTACATACATTTTAGTCAAATATTTTTAAACAATAAATGAACTCAAATTGACAAATTTTTTAACAGAAACATAAATATCCACATCTCTTTGAAAACATGTCTGTTGACAGTTACACTATGCAAATAAGTTACACAGGAGGAAAGAGGGATGGGCCAGACGAGTCCCCTCACTCTGATGGAAACAGCCAATCACAGCACAAAATTGCAATCTCCTCATCGGAAATGGGTAAAGGTACCCTTCCAAAAGACACTCCTTGTTCTGAGTCTCAGTCCTGAAAGGGGAGAGACACTAACAGACACAAGAAGTTCTGAGTCTCCGGCCTGCATGGTAGGAGACAATAGCAGATACACCATTCTGAGTCTCAGTCCTGTAAGGGGAGAAACAGAAACAGATCACCAATGTTCTGAGTCTCTGGCCTGCGTGGTGGGAGACAATAGCAGATACACCATTCTGAGTCTCCCGTACAAAGAGACAATAGCAGATACACCGTTCTGAGATCAACAAAGTTCTGAGTCTCAGTCCTGTAAGGAAAGAGACACTAACAGACACAAATCGTTCTGAGCCTGCAGCCCACTACAGGGAAGGCAACAACAGACACACCCATGCTGAGTCTCCTGTCCAGACAGACAGAAACAGACATTCCACACCTCGAGTCTCCAGCTTTTAAGACAGCAACAGATTTGATCATGTTCTGAGCCTCCAGTGAGGAAAGAGATACTCTACTTTCAGAGTCTTCATCCAGCAAGAACACAGAAACAGATGCAGCACGTCCTGAGTCTCCTTCCTAGAGTGACAAAGTGGATTGACCAAGTTCTGAGTCTCTAACCCAGAGAGGCAGAGGACACACAGACATTTGTAACAAGGTTAAGCTCCGGTGAGCAAACCTTCACTTCAAGGTACTTTCGTCTGCGTGTTCCAGATTAAGGACCTTCTGCACCTATTCCAGGGCCACATCTGCGTGTTCCAGATTTTAGGACCCTTTGGTGCTCCAGGAGATCAGCATCCTACAGTGCTTCGTGTTCAAGGCTGTTGAAATGAATTCCTGCTCCGTTCCCCAATGCAATGTTACCAGCACAAACAGTGGAAGAAGTCACTGCCATTGGACTGCTCACTCGACCACAGAGAATGGAAATATCACTTATTCACGGCCTATTGATTAAAGAGTTGGACTTGTAACCCAAAGGTCACAGGTACCAGCAGGGATTGTAGGTGGGGGGAGTGAATAAACAGCGCTCTCTCCACCTTCAATACCACGACTGAGCTGAGACCCTTAAGAAAGGCACCGAACCCCCAACTGCTCCCCGGGTGCTGCAGCAAAAATGGCTGCCCACTGCTCCGGGTGTGTGTGTATGTGTGTGTGTATGTGTGTGTACTACTCACTGCTGTGTGTGTGCACTTGGATGGGTGAAATGCAGAGCACAAATTCTGAGTATGGGACACCATCCTTGGCTACGCGTCACGTCACTTTCAATTTCATTTAGTAGTTGTTGATTACTTTTGTCTATCTTTTGTTAATATAATTTATTTGATTACACTGGTGTCTTCCTTGTGTTGATAACACAGTGCGAGGTTCTACAAGTTAGATATCCCACCAATCTTTCTTATCTAATGTACTCATAACTGCACCTGAAGTGACACGTGATCCAAAAATCACAACGGGAGTACCCGCCACATTATTTCACCTCCCTAGGCTGGCAAAAGCAAATTCACTATACCTATAATTATTTGATATTAAAATTCTAATTGAAAAATAAAATATAAAAAACAAATATAAATAATAAATAAAATATATAAAAAAATAAATGTTGAAAAAAAAAAAGTGAAATGAAGATATTCTTCAGTGGCATGGTCCCCTCCCCCACACTCTTATGACTTATAATATGGCATGATGGGCCAAATCAAAGTGTATCAGGGGCCCTGGTTTGGGAATCAACGTGTATAGCCATTATCTTCTGCCATCTGAATTGCTGAGATGTACAGTACAATTACTCAATTTCCATTCTTCAATTTGTGTTATGTCATAGTTTTCTAAAATGTGGAAAATAGAAAAAATTATGAGTATGTGCGTCCAAATATTTGACTAGTACTGTATACCATATATTTAAGAAAAGGCAAGCCAGAGGTGGAGAGCATGAACCATAAACAAAGACAAACCAGACGTGTCATTCAGTTTAATCTTCATCCTTGTATTTGATGAGCAACATGTGCAACAGTCTCACATTCTTACATTCTGTTAGTATGTGGCATCAATTCAATCTGAACACCACTGTAAGTACATTCTCTTGCTGGAGGTCTATTCATTCAACAGTCAATGCCCAATATTACAAAATTATTATTTATAATTTACATTTTGCTGCTTAAATTATTGGCC